TTTTGAACAAATCTTTAATATGACTCGGGGACATCAAGTCATCTCAGTGAAGGATGCATGGTGTTATAAGAGAAGTCACTGACAATTTACGGTTTACGGTACTTCTCGTTCATTTCTGTGGTATCCTCAAACCGAAAATCAAAGACATCAAGACTGTAATGTGATTGGTTATCAAGGCACATGTGATTCAGTTACGCTTTTACGCTTTCTCCAGTGGTAGGACTGCCAGTGATTGTCTTATTATTGGGAGATGCGAGGCTCTGTAGTACGGAAAAAGAGAAAAAGAGTAACGGCTAACTTGGATCATGTGAGGCACCTCAGCCAATCATACAATGGCCTCTGGTCTCCTTTCCTGCGTACCGCCAAAGCCGCAGCTTTAAGGCCCCAGATAGCATGCAGATGCATTCTACTTTATTTTATTTATTTATTGTCATGGCTGACATGCAGCACTCCTATGGCTAGCTTGTGACCCAAATTTGGCAAACAGGAGTGGACCACACAAATGCCATAATTCTACATAGTATGTCGGCCAGAACAAGGTGTTAGATCTGGGCCAGAATTCAAATAAATGTTGCCCAGATTTAGGCCAGTTCTGGTTTATTTTATTTATTTATTTTCATGGCTGACATGCGGCCTACCTGTGGCCCAAATCTGTGGCCCAAATCTGGCAAACAGGAGCAGACCGCTCATGCCATCATTCTTCACAGTATGTGGACTGGAGTAAGGGTGGATCTGGGCCAGAATTAAAATCGATGTGGCCCAGATTTGGGCCAGTTCTGCTTTATTTGGTTTATTCATGGCTGACATTGGGCCTTCCTTTGGCTTGCTTGTGGCTCAAATTTGGCAAACAAGATTGGACCGCCCAAGTGCCATCATTCTTCACAGTATGTGTGCCGGGGAAAGGTGTTGGATCTGGGCCAGAGCTGGGCCAGAATTAAAATCAATGTGGCCCAGATTTGGGCCAGTGCTGCTTTATTTGGTTTATTCGTGGCTGACATTGGGCCTTCCTTTGGCTTGCTTGTGGCCCAAATTTGGCAAACAAGATTGGACCGCCCAAGTGCCATCATTCTTCACAGTATGTGGGCCAGAGCAAGGTGTTGGATCTGGGCCGGATCTGGGCCAGAATTAAAATCAATGTGGCCCAGATTTGGGCCAGTTCTGCTTTATTTGATTTATTCATGACTGACATTGGGCCTTCTTTTGGCTTGCTCATGACCCAAATCTGGCAAACAGGAGCGGACCATCCAAATGCCATCATTCAATGAGGTATGTGGGCCAGATAAAAATGTGTCAGGTGTGGGCCTGATCTGGGCCTCAGGAATTTTCGCTATCTGGGGGTGATTTATACTCGACGCGTCTGCAAGTTAGCTTGGGTGCACGAGGCAAATATGGCACATCCGCATCCGAAGATGCATGAGTTCAGGGCGATTCTAGCCGAACATGCATGTCTGTGCCAGCATTTGTGTGAAACAGAAGTAGCAGAACAGGATAATTTGTGAATTTTTTTTTTTTTTGACGTTTGGAATACATCTAAGTATCAATGTAAATGCATAATCAGGGTAGTACTAAGTAAAATAATAAAATGCACTTCACAAATGTTCATAAATTTATGAGCACAAATGTGAATACACACAATTTTACCCAAGAGAACTGCTTTGGCATCTCTACTTGTATTCATAGGCCCACAACACTGTTCGCTCTGATAGACCGGAAATGTTTTGCATGTGTCTCCATGTGGGAGGCACGGTTTGATGCCCAGACACAACTGAGGATTCAATGAAGATTAGAACATTCTGTGCTGGGTTCCATGGGAAAACAGACAGCCAGAAGGGAGTGATGTTTGACAGATAAACAAACATAATCGCTCTCAAATATACAGAAAAACTAAATTTATCATGTTCTCAATCTCTCCGTTTGTCACTGTACAAACGATATGAATTATGCCTCACATTGTTGAGAACACAAACCAAAAATACCTGACATTAATTGTAGGGTGAAACAGCTTTCATGTTTTATCTATGTTAAATGTGTTTATTTTCCTACCACAAGCACTGTGCAGGGAAATAAACACAAGAAGACGCATCACGCTGAGATGTGTTGACGCTGAAAGGTTGCACAAGTGTGTTAGCTCCTGTGAAGAAACGTTCAGAGAAAACAATATGGAGCAATGTATTGCTTTGACAGTTCCCTTTAAAGAATATTCTGGGTTTAAAATGTTCAACTCTTGTCAAACACAGACTATAATTTCAACTCACTGACAGTAATGCACTTACAATAATTTGTTATCACTCTTGTTGCTCTCAAAACAGTGTGTATTTTACAATGCTTTGCTCCATTCATGTCCATTAAATGCAATTTTTTTTCTTTGAGTTGACAATTTTCTGTGGTAATCAGTAGCAATCAAAAGGATTTTTTGATCTTTTAATGCACTTCACATCTCTGACATCTTTCTGTGCACCATCAGAATATCTCAGTGGGCAATTTAACCTGCTTTGCACTTTGGATGTGTTTTATGTGATTTTTTTAATGAAAACATTAGATTTTAATGTATTACATACCAAGCATTTGTTTTCTGGTAATGTGCATGTTGCATTATGTATGTTGGAGTGTCAAATTCATACAAACTAATGTAATGCATTCTTCAAACATATTAAGATAATCGAGGCTTTATGCACTTCTCTGAAATGAGCATAAAAAATAGCAACTATATTATGGTGGGGCACAATAAAATGTTGTGAGAGCTGCTTTTAAAAAGAAGAATATTTTGTCTTGCAACACTACAGGTAGTTTATGTTGTCGGAACTTCTACCATCCAGGAAGCAGCTGAATATAAAGCAACACTTCAGCTCGAGGCTGTCTTGTACTGCACGTATGCAGGTCACACACGGCTCATACTCCTCTGATCAATGTGTGTGCTTTCTGTGTTTCTCTTAACGCTCTGTCAATATGATTTGTCCTCTGAAATATTCAATGCATCCGTCACACCGTATTCAGAATCAGCCGGAGAACAAGCTGTTTTTAGCCCATAAACACACTTACATAACAAAAGAGGTAAATGGAGCACACACACACACAGTATGTCTACATGAATTGTTTACTGAAGCTGTAATGTGCAGGACAGATGAAAATAAAGGTGCAGTAACAACAATGGTGCACCTGCTCACACACACACATACATTTGAACAGGGTCGAGCTAAAGCCTAAAGTCTAAAGACACATACACTGTGTCAGAGCAATGACATGAGATCAGAGAAGAGAAAACAGAACAGATGAGAAGTGAAGAGATGAAATGAGAAGAGCAAACAGATGAGACGAGAAGAGATGAGAAAAGAAAAAGAGAAGAGATTAGAAGATAAAAGACAAAAAGAGAATAGATGAAATGAGATGAGAAAAGTGAAGACAAAAAGCGATGAGAAGATAAAGACGAGAAGATAAGAAATGAGAAGAGATGAGAAAAGAGAAGACAAAAAGATGAGAAGACATTAAATGAGATGAGAAGTGGTAACCAGTGATGAGACAAGATGAGAAAAGAACACGAGAGATGAGACAAGATGAGAATAGATTACATGAAATGAGAAAAAAGAGAAAACCGAAAAAATGAGATGAGAAAAGGGAGGGCAGAAGAAAAGAGATTAGATGAGAAATAAAAAAAAAAACAGAAGACACGAGATGAGAACAGAAGGCACGATGAGAGAAGAGAAAACAGAAGAGATGAGAAGATAAAAGAGAGGCAGGAGGAGATAAATAGGCGAAATGAGATTAGAAGAGATGAAATAATGAAAAAGAGAAGAGATGACAGGTGAAAAGAAGAGAGGAAAAGAGAAGAGATGAGAATAGAATAGAGGAGAAAAGATGAGAGAAGAAAAGAGCAAAGTCAGGATCGGCGAGACTTGATGTGATGAAAAAGATGAGAATAAATGCTCGGTTGTAGGCAGCTGTGGCACAAACAGCATCATCACGCTGAACTCCTTGTGTGTGTTTTTATACTCGGAGAGGTTTTGAATGAGATCGTGAATAGTAGTCGGCCACCCACAGCAGCAGAGCGGATTTCTGAATGAACGAGATCTCCCTCCTGTCGGCTCCTGACACACTGCCAAACACACGCTCACTTCAGAAAACCAGCCGCCAGGCACCCAGAACCAGAGCGAAGCCCGTCCCAGACACATGCCATGTCACAGTCCCTGTCTCACACGTCTCTCCCCTCCTCTGCGGCTCTCCGCTGTGACTCATCGCTCGCCAGACGCTTTACAGATGAAGCCAAATCAACATGACAGAAACTCACAGCCAACCAGCGTATGTGTGCACGTGAGAGAGATGCTTTCAGCTTCCCCTGCCTCATTTTCAATATGCTTAAAGAATTTAATTGCTTTTTTGGCACAACGACAGCTACATGATCAAATAGAAGATGAGCTAACGAGTTCTCCCAAAAGCATTCTGGGCACACGGATCAAAAGCACCATCGCTCTTCAGTGATCGACTATTATCATAATATCACATTCAAACTTTAGAGCTTTCACTTTACATGATAAGAGAAGGTCATAATGAGTGGGTTTCTTCCTCACCAGGGGCCTTTTGGCTCTGAAACCTCTAATCATAGGCGCTCTTCTGCTTCTTTACAAAAAAGTACCATGGTAACCAGCAAAATTACAACCCTCTAAACTTCAACTAAAATGTAATTGCTGATTTTGAAGTACAAATCAAAGAGAAGCCAAAGTTATACAGCGAAAAAAGCTAATTGCACTTACTTACCATGTTAAATCTAATTGATGATCATGATGAAAATAGGTGCTTTTTGTAAGGGATCACCCATCCTGATGTGAAAAACTTTATAATAAGACGAATTCAATGTTATGCATGCGTAAAACCATTCGTTTTGAGTTTGTATGCCAAATTAATAACCTTGAATCGCCTGGAGTGCATGTGTGTGCGTGTGTGTGGCCGGTTTTGCGTATGTTGTTTCAGTGACGCACGAATCAGGTGGCATCTCTTCTACGGGCGGAGCTGTCCGCGGTGCTGACGAGAGAGAGACTCCGCGCTCGTGCGCACGGTGCTGCACAGCCATAAACACACCGAGAGCGCGAGAGCAATGCGCAACGCACTCACGACTCCCCGTTAAAACAGACCGAAAGCAAAGGTAAGAAGGTTTTTGCATTTAAACACTCATATGTGCGTTCTTTATGACGGAATGCATCACTTATATCTGGTTTATCTCTTTAGAAACGCGTATGGGCTCTGTTTTATATTTCAGCAACCTGCTGCGCAACCGAGAGACGCGTTCATAAACAGCGAGATGGAACAAAAAAGCATGCGTTTTAAAAGTTGTGGGGGAAAAAAGGTTTAATAAAGGTTCGACCGCTTCTTCGCAGTTTCTCGCGCAATTGTTATTTTAAAGCTCATTTGTGTTTATTTAAAATTCTACAAATCGTTCATTAAGAACGCTACGCACGCTTAAAAGCAAACCTGGTAACAACCTGACGGAAAATGTCCAAGTTAAAGTTCTACTCACTACATTTCCACTTAAAAATAAGTGTAGACATCTAACAGATTGAAGTGAGCAGGATGTCGTGCTCCGGGGCTTTCTCCTCCTCTCCGTTTGACGGCACTTTGCGGTTCAACAGCAGTGCGGATGCTCGTGCGGTCTCCCGTAGCAACGGGGTATGACTCATTTAGTCGAGCAGCAATTTAGAAACTAATGAGGTTTTTAGCTCAGGCTGCGCGCGCACTCTCTGAGTGCTCAGCAAACACTCATCAACAGGCTTTCAACAGATGTCAGAAAGAGAGAGAGAGAGAGAGAGAAACAAGCAGAGCGAGACCTGCGATGGTCACTTAAGCATTGTAAAGAAGACTGCAATAAGTTATCTGGGGCAGGTCTTTGTAAGAAGATAAAGGAAGAGTTCGTCAGGAGATAAATATTCTGTCATCATTTAATCGCAGTCATGTAATTCCAAACATGTGGCTTTCTTTCTTCTGTGGAACACAAAAGATGATATTTGAACTGTTTTGCCCATGCAGTTAACTGTTGTGTTGTTTTGGACCCCATTGACTTTCACTGTATGGACAACAACACTGAGACAATCTTTCAGGTTTGGAACGACATGAACTTAACTAGCTGATGACAGAACAATCAATATACATGAAATTGTTAGTGCGAACACTGTGTATGTGTTGCAAAAGGGTACAAAAGCTGTCACTTGGGTTGTACCTTTGAAACCTTTGTACCTCGAAAGAGATACAATACAATACAGACAGGAAAAATGTGCTGATAATGCAAGAGGACAATAGAAAACTGTCAGTTTATCAGTTAAAGTTAGTTCATTGTTGATTCAGTGATGTCATCGTCCAGCTCAGCTCAGTTCTCTTCCAATAATATCTGCGCGATCAACTCAACAATGTTGCCAGAAATTGTGTGCCTAGCTAAGCACGCCAGAGTGGCAAGGAATCAAAACTCCATCTGTGTCAGAAATGGAGAGAAAATGCCTTGGAAGAAACCAGGCTCAGTCGGGAGGGCAGTTCTCCTCTGTCCAGACCAAACCAGCATGGTGTGGTTTAATTCCAGGCTGCAACGCACGTCAGATTGAGCAGAGGACTCGTCTGGTTCTCATACACTCTTAAAAATAAAGGTGCTTCACGATGCCATAGAAGAACCTTTTTGTCTAAATGGTTCCATAAAGAACCTTTAACATCTGAAGAACCTTTCTATTTCACAAAAGGTTCTTTGTGGCGAAATAAGGTTCTTCAGATTATAAAAACGCAAGAAAAAGATGGTTCTTTAAAGAACCTTTGACTGAATGGTTCTTTGTGGAACCAAAAATGGTTCTTCTATGGTATCGCTTGAAGAACCTTTTGAAGCACCTTTATTTTTAAGAGTGTAGTTTTGAGTCGATGGCCGACGAGGTCTTCACAGGGCATCTGTCTCTAGGGTTCGTCTAGTTGGCATGGTCTCCGCTGACATTCAGGGCTGTAGAGGTCGTCTCTAGGTGCTGATCCACCTTCTGGTTTTGATATGGACTGGATCCGGATGACTGCAGTGACCATATGATCTGGATACGGACTGGATCCGTATGGCTACGGTGACCTCGGAATAAGAATAAATATAACTAATATTAGCGTAGATGCCATTCTTCTTCCGATGTAGCGAGTACATCGGGTGTTATGAGAAGTGTTCTCGGCTCCTGGCTCCTAATTAATGCAGCCTAAAAATAATTTAACAGATTTGAATTATAGAAAAGTGATTGTGTTTTATGTGTATGCCAGGTTAAAGAGATGGGTCTTTAATCTAGATTTTAAACTGACAGAGTTTGTCTGCCTCCTGAACAACGCTAGGTAGATTGTTCCAGAGTTTGGGTGCTAAATACCTAAATTCTACGTATTATCAAATGGCCAGAGTTTTGAGGTCGCAGTGGATGTGAAGGATGATAATGCAATAAGAGCTCACTCAAGTACTGGGGAGCTAAACCATTCAGGGCTTTGTAAGTAATTAGCAAGATTTTAAGATGTTATTGATGATTTTAAAATGGTGCATATTAGTACCTAATGTGTACATTATTAGTAGCTAATAGGTACCACCCCAGTGAAAGCTTTTGTACCTTTTTAATGAAAAACTGACTCACCATCTCTTCTCCCTCTCTCTCTCAGGTAAAACATGTCGTCATCATCTAGATGCTGTGCAACAGGGGTGTTCATCCTCCCCTCGCTCCTTCTTCTACCCCTTTTCCTTTCTCTCGTTTGTGGAGTTCAAGGGGCCACGCTAAGAGAGCATCGCCTAAGCGAAAGTGAACCCGTCTCTTATGGACCAGCGTCCCAGATCCGTCCTCCTCCGAGTGCCGAGATGCTCAGAGCTCTACGCTACATTCAAAGCCTCAGCCAGAGAACCCCACCTGATCACCTCGATGACCAGCAAGACACTTCAGACGGCATGGAGAGAGTTCGCTCCCTGCTACAACTGGCAGCTCCTGCCCGGTTGGATAGAGGTATGGAGGTGAGGGAGGAAGAGAAGGACAACACTCAAGAGTTGCTGCAAGCAGTGCTTACCACACTACAACAGACCGAGGAACACATGGTGCCCCAGAAAACCTCCCAGAAGGTCATCGCACCATCTCAACCTCGATACACTGTCCAACCGTTCCCAAGACCAAAGCAACAACTAGAAGTGGAAACTTCAGCTGAGAATTACGGAAGGACCTCGTGGGCCAATCCGGATAGCCAGAGACGGCACCGGAAGTTCCCACTTGTGTTTGAGAACGAGGAGGATCAGGAGCAGCCTCTCAAACGGACCAACGAGAAAGCAGAAGAACAGTACACACCCCAGAACCTGGCGACCCTTCAGTCTGTGTTTGAGGAGCTAAGTGCAATCTCCACATCTAAGGCCAACAGCAAACGGGAGGATGGTGAAGATGCTGATGATGCTGATGATAATGACTTGTACAGGCAGAGGAAGATGGTCTTGGAAGACATCATGGGATCTGATGAATGGGCACCTTTGGAGGAACAAACAGAGACTGAAGAAGAAGAAAGAGAGAGGCATGGGTTTAATCGCAACCTTGAGGATGAGCAAGAGGAAGAGGAGGATGAAGAGGACGATTATGTCAAAAGATCCAACCAACCCGACTGGTTCCAGACAGGAAAAGAGGAGGAGCCTGAGGACATTGCAAAGCTTGTGGACTACTATCTTCTGCAAATCCTAGAAAAGAAAGAGCAGGAGCAGCAGAAAAGACGAGAGGCCAGCAAGAGTGAGCAAGAAAGCGACAGAGAGGTGCAGAAAAAAGATGTGGATGAAGATGATGGAGAGGAGGATGACATGGAGGAGAGGGAAATTAGGCCAATACACAGCACATTCCCTGAGTCTTTGTCCAAGATAATCACAATCTCACAGAAGCTGCGAATCCCACCAGAGGAAGTTCTTGAGCTTCTCCATAATGAGAAGCAGAAGGATTTATTGGGAACCCCAAAGAAGTCAATGAAGACCACTCACAAGACCTTCGCCGCAGCACCTCACCGACGGCCACTCGAGACATCGGAGGGCAACAGCATCACCCAGGGCATCATGAATATCCTCAAGCTGGTAAATGCAGCACAACAAAACAACAACCGACCAACGCAACCGAAAACATCGCGTTATTATGAGAGGAAAACTAGCAGGGATGATTATGACGACACTGCCGGTGAGGAAGACGAACTTGTCAATTACCTGGCATTGGAAATGTTTGGGCATGGACAGAGACGTGCACGTCTGACGCCATTACGTGACAAGGATCAGCCCGTGTACGAACGCGGTGACTACTTCGATAAAAGCGTGCCAGAAAAAAGACCTGCAAATCACGAGAACGCAGTGACAGGATTAGACAACAACACAATACTGCAAATCCTGCGGTATCTGGATCCGGAGAGCGACGATGCCGACGAAACGGACTCTGAGGGGAAAACAGTCCCTGAAATGTAGCCGTGTAGATAATGATTATATTCATTGTTTGAAGTTTGTCATATAATAAAGTATTTTGAAACAAATATATCCCCTAATTGCATTTAGTCAATGTAGTGCTCCAGCTTTTCTCATTTCTTGTTCTGTATAGCGAGAAAAAAAAAAAAAAGTATTTTAGTAAACTCGACCAATTTGTTTCTTAGTTAGCGAATATAACAATGTAAAAAGTCACTGGCTTTACCTCTTTAACATATGAACACACACAGATTTTCTCCCTCCTAACAACGCCAGTTATGTTTTAAGTCAGTCAGTATCTTGTGCGTGTGATGAGGTCATGTGTGACGTGGCAGAGGTAAATAAAGCATTTGTTCACACCACGGTCCTCTGTGTAATGCTTCTCTCACTGCCGAGCAACCTCTCCATGACATAAAATCTTGTTGTTGTTTTTGGTGATTGGTTTCTGTTTCATGTGCAACCAGGATCATAACAGCCTGAAATGCATTTACATTTGAGTCATGAAAATTTGGTTACATATTTAAATGCATGTATAGAATAAGCTGTAATTATTCTACTACAATTCATACATTCTCAAAAAAACTTTTATTAAAATGCATTTTATTACTTTTGAGTCAATATCTTGGCCAGTCCTTGCAACACTTTTCAGATTAAAACATTTTTTTCTTTCAGTTACTGCCTTTGAAATAATTTATTTGAAAAACAAACAGTCGAGCAGACAGGATCAGGTTGTGTACATATAGTATAAACACATCTGTGAGAACATGATGAATCACCACCTAAAGAAAGCTTGCTTGTTTGTGTGTGTGTGTGTGTGTGTGTGTGTGTGTGTGTTTGTGTGTGTGTGTTTGTGTGTGTATGTGTGTGTGTGTATGTGTGTGTTTCACCTCCTGAAGAGAATCTGCCCCCTCCATTGATTTGGCCACAGACGCTTTAGATGTTTCCTGCACTTTTCCACCAATAACAAACTCATCCAGGATAAAGTAAGCTTTCTCAAAGTTAAAAATAATATCTAATTCACACACCTGCAACACACACAAACAGATATAGATGCCAAAAACATAAATACATGACTCTCACGATTCAGAAAACACATTATCATGCTCTTGATGACATAAAAATCTCAGAAGATGAGTAATATTACTCTGAACAATATATGCCATACAGTTCAAAAGTTTGAGGTTGGGAATATTTTTAATGCTTTGGAAAGAAGTCTCTATTGCTCACCAAGGCTGCATTTATTTAATCAATAAATACAGTAAAAACAGCAAAATTGCAAGAAGTTACAGAAAGCATTGTAATGAGGAGAAAAGCACATGCGATAAAAAGGTGACCTCTGACCTCCTGTAGACGATCTTCAGATCCCTCCACTGCAGGAAGTTGCAGGCCTTGGGCGATCGCGCCTGCACCATTTGTGTGATGTCTCTTATGATCTTTCTCTTGTCACGATCGCTGAGAGCCATGAACCATTTCTGCAGCCGTAGTTTCCCCTGACGACTGAACAGCAGCAGGATACGCATCTACAGCAGAGACACAAATTCCTTTGTCCTGAAAATGTCTGTAAGCATCATTAAGCTGCTTTTGGAAATGTGATGAACTATGTGTTGACCTGAATATAGCACAAAACACACACAGGTAAAATACCACATGCTTTGTCATAGTCAGAATGTCAAACAACGCAGGACTATCGCAGTTAAAGTATAACTAGGAATACAAACAAAAAACTAATGCTGAAATAAATGATATAAAATAATTTAACAATACCATTAATTTTATAATAAATACTTTACAATTAATTTTTATAAAAACAAAAATAAATAAATAAAAATAACACACACATACATGCTGCTTGGTCCTGCAGTGTGACAAAAGTTTTTTTTAACTGTTTATATCAGTAATATTCATATGCATTTTAATAACCTACAATCTTGATAATAATAAATAAAAACCAGGTTAAAAGAAAGTTAAGCATGCCAAGGTTATGGGTTCAGGGAACTCACATTTTGCAAAAATGTTTACCTTGAATGCATCTGCCATAACTCATAACTAAATAAAGCCCTATGTTTTTTTTTAGACTAAAAAATTACTACATGAACCATTTTACCTTTAATACCCTCTTAAAATTAAATATAGTTTCTCACTAATAATGTGAACATGAAACTGCAAATTTGTTTTTAACCAAGAAAAGAGATAAAAACAACAAACGCACCTTTGTATTTGTGATACAAGAGGAAATACAAATGTCCCTCTTATCAGCACAAGAACAGCTTGTGTGTGTGTGTGTGTGTGTGTGTGTGTGTGTGTGTGTGTGTGTGCGTGTGCGTGCAGTAAAACACAACAAAGGGTCAAATATAAGGACAGATCCCAGACAAACAGCTCTACAGAAGAGAAAACACAAAAAACAAAGCTCTATCTGACCTCACTCAGATTCGTATCTTAATAGTTAGGTTCTGTTTGTGATTGTTAATGCAAGAAAAAGGCAGCAACATTAACAAGAAGACAGCAGTTGCACACTCGTGAACCTCACCATCCTGAGACTCCCACAGATCCTAAACGAGCCTGCGTGGAGCGCCGCACGGGTTCATGTCCAGCAGCTCAGCCGGGACAGTCTCACCTCGCCCCGGCGTTGTTGTGTTACTGCTCGCGCACAGGTGTGAGCCAATCACAGGCGCGTACGGACAGCAGGGGCGGGGCTATCTGCATCACACCTGCTGGCTTTACCTGGTCAGGTGCAGCGAGGACATCCTTTCCGCTCCAGTAAATTCTCTTGAGATATTTTTAAAATACGATTTGATAGCCTAATTATTTATTCGTTATGACTAACCCCATTGTAACCCAGCCATACAAAAACAATAGCATCTAAAGATTATCAACGTATTAAACAGTAAACATTTTTTATATGGGTCTATGTTTTATTACCGCGATTCTGTGGTTATTATTCTGCAGTAGGCCTATTATTATCATTAGACTACCCTATACACAAGCATAATAAATAACTAGATATCATGCGACGTTTCACACAAAGGCTAGATCACTGCTGTCAATCAAATCGCTCGTTAATTATTTGAGATTATTAAACACACTAACAACTTCAGTGAACTACCCGGTGTTTTTCCCATCAACCTCTACAAACCCAGTACAAATCTCTGAACTCCCAAGATCAATAATTATAAAAAAAAACCTGAGTGTGTGGATGGCTGTAACAGGGTCATTTAGAATATAGGTGTGATCAAGTTTAATAAAAAGCCTATAATTCCTAAACGAAACCTCAGAAATTTGCGAAATGAGCCCAAATTAGGTAGGCATGCAATATGATTCTGAACAAACACTACATGCAAACTTTTATGGAGATCGGGCAATAGGTGGGGCTATAACAGTTATAAAGTTATTAAATAATTTTGATGGTGCATTAGCTGAAATTGCTGAAAATTGTCTTTTTTTAATCTCTCTAATGATTTAGACGGTTCCAGGCTTGTTTAATAACACGTAAGATCTTTAAATCATGCGCTAAAGACGCCATATTGAATTTGATGATTGTCTAAACCTATTTTATATATATAATTGCTATAGGCCTCCCAGATAGCACACACATACGTCTGCAAGATGTCTGTTAAAGATCTCTTCATCTGGAAAGCATCTGCTGTGTACAAACATCTGATAGACGTCTTTAAGATGTCAGTTTTACATACACTGTGCATCATAAACATCTTAAAGACATCTTCTAAACGTCTATTTGACATCTGATAGGAAACATCCTATAGACGCATTGCAGATGAGCAAGCACTCTAAAAAGATGTAAATGCAGACGTCAAATAGACATCTCCGTGATGCACGTGCGCTATCAGGGAAATAGATGATCTTATATTTTCTTAGCTATTATCAAACTGTCAACTACAAAGGTATTGCTTTGAAACATCAGAGGTCTGACAGTCAGAGGCGTGTTATTTCGTTGATTACCGGTAGAGGGCAGAAAGCGTTGGCAGCGGAGAGTGGCGTGGATCTACGTGCACTCATGTGACCCCGGTGCCGGTTAAAAGCACCGGAGAGCATCCGCGATCACAGCGGGCGACCTGAGCGACAGCGCGGGTGTGAGAATGTCTCTGTACCGGAACTCCGCATGGTTCCTCAAAGGACTCACCGAATTCACCAAGTAAGAGCTGCACTGCTTCAGAAATCTCACAACACCTTATTACAATATTAACAAACATAATGCTTAATTAATACACATTCAAATACATAATATGATGTAATATAATTGGCTACTACTAATATAACATAGGCTAATATAATATAACGTTACATAATTCTCATGCAATATTTCATTTAATATTTAACATCTATAATTATGATGTTAAATAGCCTATTGCATGGGTCAGATTTCAGTTATTCTACTACAACTGTTTATCTCTTATTTTATAAAATGCATTTAATGCATTTTTTGTAATTTTATTATTATTTCTGTGTTTATTAGGTTGTCTTTATTAATAGGAGTTTTTGTATAATGGGCACTGAGAAACAAATAACAAATAGTTTTGACCTCTAAAAAATGCTGGGTTGTTTCAACCCAACTTTGGGTCAAAACAGTTGGATTAAGTTTTTTAATTACATTTTTAACACTAAAGTTGGGTTAGTCCATATTTGACCCAAAGTTGGGTTGAACCAACATTTTTTAGAGTGTAATTTATCAAAATATTTGGACATGTCCAGCATTTGTCTGTAGGCCTACTTGGATTTTTAACCATATGATGCAATAATTCTTCAATCATAAGGGAAAACGTTTCTTAAAGTTTGCTTTTTACTTCAAAACATATGAATCCGTTTTTCTTCAAAATGATGCAAAAAAAAGTGTTGCACATCATAAAACAGTGACAACATAAATCATGGCAAGGGTAAAAGCTTTCAAAGTCAGTTTCTTACATTTGCAAAACTAACTTTATTTTTTAGACGGTGATATAATAAATGGTGCACCGAATATGTTCAAAAAAACACAAAAAGTGTTGTTTTTAACACATTCTGCACTCAGGGTCACATGTTGCTTTTCGTTTTCCATGAAATCCAGTTTTATAAAAATGATTAGCCTGTAAATTCTTGGCAGTCAGAAAAACACTCAAAACGTGTCATCTCACTGCTGCTGTTTATCTTGCAGTGGCCCCTGCATCTGTTTTTTCCTCCTAATACATTGTCACCCGGGTCAACCTCTCACGTCCCATAATGGGACACACATCACCCTTAACAGTGCATGCATTTACTGAGAAAAGCTTGATTCCCCCCGGCACCTCCTCGCTCCTCTTCATCCCTCCGCCTGGCCTGACACGCGTGGACAAAGCCAGCCTTTGAGATCGGGTCAAGGGCACGAGCGCCGCCGATGCCAGGAGCAGTGCTATCAGAGGACGCACTGATAGCTCGCTCTCATTAGCTAAGCGATGACGCAAGGTGGCACATTAGGACAGGACTTCTCGAGTGGTTTCTCTTCAGGACTTTAAGTGGCAAATGAATACAGAACCTTAATTTTACAAAAGCATACAAAAATCAACACAGAAACACATTCCCAGCTAACAGGAAACGTTTTCAGAACTTCCCTAACATTCTGGCAAGGTTCTCTTAACATTATGAACAAACATTCTTGCAACGTTAACAGAACTCTTGTTCAAAGTTATCTGGTGTTTAATAATGTTCTCAAATCAGCACAAAACATTATCTGTACATCATCATTAATGTTTTTTTTTTTAAATGTTGCTACTTGTTACTTTTGAATGTTCTCTGAGCGCTCTTGGACATTTATTTCCATGTTTGCAAACTGCTAAAATGGAACGTTCCACTTAAAGGGTTAGTTCACCCAAAAAATGTAAATTAGCCCATAAATTACTCACCCTCAAGTCATCCTAGGTGTATATGACTTTCTTCTTTCAGACGAATCCAGTCGGAGTTATACTAAAAATTGTCTTTGATCTTTTAAGCAGTTTCATGGCACTCAGCGGGTGTTGCATGCATCATTCAAAAACAAGTTAAATAAAAAGCGCCTATCCATAAAAAAAAGTGCCTCACAAGGCTCCGGGGGGTGAACAAAGGCCTTCTGTAGCGAATCGATGCATTTTTGTAAGAAAATATCCATATTCAAAACGTCACTTTAATCTAGCTTGCGCTCACTGTTGTACACTGGAAGCAGTTCCGGGAGCATGACGTATGGGGTCAGCGTTGCGCATGCGCCGGTGAGTCTCGTGAAAACAACGTTTGTTAAGAGGAGGAACAAAGGAAGCAACGTTTCCTTACTTTAGCAAAGGAAAACCAGTCTCCTCTTGGCTTATATCGAAATCCTCCGACATTCTTCTTTACAAATCCTCGTTTTGTACTTCTAATTAGTGACCGTTGTTTTGTTTTGATCTCTCCCCTGCGTTTCCGCGTGCGTCATTTTATGGATGGGCGCTTTTTATTTAACTTATTTTTGAATGATGCATGCAACACCCGCTGAGTGCCATGAAACTGCTTGAAAGATCAAAGACCATTTTTAATATAACTCCGACTGGATTCGTCTGAAAGAAGAAAGTCATATACACCTAGGATGACTTGAGGGTGAGTAATTTATGGGCTAATTTAAATTTTTGGGTGAACTAACCCTTTAATGAAATTTCCCTCGCATTCTGGCAAGGTTTTCTCAAAGTTATAAACAAACGTTCTTTCATTAACGTTACTAGAACGTTCATTCAAAACTATCTGGGCTTTAATAACATTCTCAAAACGTCAGCACAAAAACATTAAATCATTCATGAGATGTTTTTTCAGAAACGTTTTAGTTGGATGTTCATCTAACATTTTTTAAATGTTGCTACTTGTTTCAAAACGTTCAGGGTACATTCTCATTCTCAAAATGTTCCTGGACGTTTTAACTGTTCAGAGAACTTTCAGAAAGAACATTTTCATTATTTAATGGGACCGTTAATAAAACATTCTTAGAACATAGTTGGGTTTCTTGAAAAAGTGTGATGTCGAATAGTTCAAAGCATGCAAAAAGTGAACTAATTACTTCACTGAACTAATCTAGCAGTGTTTTGTGACGTGCGTGCACACAGGGAACCCTGTGACATTTCGAGACTAATTAAATGTGTGTGTCACAGGGGGGCATTTCTGTCAGCGTCTAAAAACTTTGTTGAGAAGGACCTGGAGACGTCAGTGGTGGGCCGATCCTTCCTGATCACTGGAGCTAACAGCGGGATCGGGAAAGCCACTGCCATGGCCATCGCCAAGAAAGGTGTGTGTTGGAGAAAAACAGCAGTGGTTGGTAAAATAGAACCTGACCATGTGGTTCATGGTGTATTTAGGTTCTTCAAATGCTTTCCATGTTCTTATGTGAATACAGTTGCTCTAAAAAGTATTTGGACACAGAAAAATGTTCAAATGTCATTGCATTAGATGACAAAACCCAGAATCTGCAAACAAATTATGCTAGTCCTTTGATTTTCTTTGTTGTAGCTTTACTTTTGCTCTGCATTTATGCATTTTATCTCATTTTATTTATCTGCATTTATGCATTTATCTAAAGCAATGACATTCAGACAGTGTTATTTAAGTCTCCAAACACTTTTTGTGCCGCAGTTTAACCAGTTAACCCTCTTCTTCAAGGTGGTACGATCCACATGGTCTGCAGGAACAAGGACAAGGCGGAAGAAGCCAGAGCGGAGATCGTCAAGGACTCTGGAAACAAAGTACGATTGTGATTGTTAGCCTGCAGTTTAATAGTTAAAGGCGCTGATTGTAACACAGCTGGCTGTAGAAGCGTCCACCACCGTGGCACTCTGAGCAAGTCATTTAACCTCAGGTCACACCAGGAGAACCGAACCTGCAGTAGAAATGAGAACGCAGCTGCTTAATGAAGAATAATGTAGTAGTTTGCAAATAAGTTACCGTTTTTACAGAAGTCCACTGAATCATTGAAATGACCCATATATTTATCTACACGCTGTCTGAAAACAGATTTACATCTGCAACTGTTTCTAAAGCAAGATGTTCTAGTAAAATACGTGACCTTTGGCCTCTGTGTTTGGCTGCAGGAGATCTTCGTGCATATTTTGGATCTGTCCGAAACCAAGAAGGTGTGGGAGTTTGCGGAGTCTTTCAAGAAAAAGTACAAAGCCCTCAATGTCCTGGTGAGGCTTTAAAATGGCATATACACTACTGTTCAAAGGTTTGGGGTCAGAAAGTTTTTTTTTTATTTAGAAATGTATGCTTTTATTCAGCAAGAACATTAAACTGATCAAAAGTGACAGTAAAGACATTTATAATGTTACCAAAGATTTCTATTTCAAATAAATGCTGTTCTTTTGAACTTTCTATTCATCAAAGAATCCAGAAAAAAATGTGTCATGGTTTCCACAAAAATGTGAAGCAGCACAACATTGATAATAATCATAAATGTTTCTCGAGCAGCAAATCAGCATATTAGAATGATTTCTGAAGATCATGTGACACTGAAGACTGGAGTAATGATGCTGAAAATTTATTACATTTTACAATATATTCACATTGAAAACAGCTATTTTAAAGTGTAATATTTTCACTGTTTTTGATCAAATAAATGCAGCCTTGGTGAGTATAAAATAATTATTTCAAAAACATGAAAAAAATCTTATTGACCCCAAACTTGAATGGTAGTGCACCTATATTTTGAATGGTATTACCATCTAATGGAAGTAATGAGAATGTGGTTGGTTGACTGTGACAGATCAATAACGCCGGCTGTATGATGACTAAGAGGGAGGTGAATGGTGAGGGTTTGGAGAAAAGCTTTGCAAGTAACTCTCTGGGTAAGTGAGCAAACAAAACCAGCTCGATATCACCTCAGGACTAAAAGTCTTTCCTACTAACTTTATAATAAATAACATCTTTAATACCTTAGATTTCACCTGATGTCTCTGTTGTGTTCCTCAGCCATGTACATCCTCATCAAGAGCCTCATTCCTCTGCTGGAGAAGAGCCCTGACTCCAGAGTGGTGAGTAAACCAGAGGCTGAGAGCGGCAGACAGAGGTCAGACGGTCACCATCTTTCCTCTCTTTCAGATCACAGTATCATCCGGTGGGATGCTGGTGCAGAAACTGCGAACGGGAAACCTGCAGTCTCAGAGGGGCAGATATGACGGCACTATGGTGTATGCACAGAACAAGGTATATATGTACACATAGAGAGTCCAACATACAGAAACACTTTGCTTTGATGCCATTTGCAAGTTTAAAGGTATAGTTCACCCAAAAATTAAAATTAGATGTTTATCTGCTTACCCCCAGGGCATCCAAGATGTAGGTGACTTTGTTTCTTCAGTAGAACACAAATGATGATTTTTTAACTCCAGCCGTTGCAGTCTATCAGTCTTATAATGCATGGCAATGGTAACAAAATCTATGAGAGTAAAAAAAAACATGCACAGACAAATCCAAATTAAACCCTGCAGCTCGTGACGACACATTGATGTCCTAAGACACAAAACGATCGGTTTGTGCCAGAAACCGAACAGTATTTATATAATTTTTTACCTCTAATACACCACTATGTCCAACTGTCTTTGAGCGCGAGAACGGCATCCGGTGCGTGAGGTGTGTACGCGCTCTGGCGTAGTTTACGCAAGCGCCGGAAGTGATCTCTCGCGCATATACGTCACTCATTGTTTACACAGTGCACAAACATTGTAGGTACGACGGCTAATCAAAATAGTACTTACTTGCACTTACCCGGATTGTTCAAACTGACTTAAAACTAAAAGATTACGTTCTCTCACTTTCCACGTATTCCCAACTTCTGAGCCTGCTCGCCTGAAGTTATGGTTGATTGCTCTTCGGCTGGATATCAACACACCCATTAACATAAACTCCGCCAGAGCTTATACACCCCTCACGCACCGGATGCCGTGCGCGCACTCAAAGCAGTTGGACATAGTGGTGTATTAGAGGTAAAAAATTATATAAATACTGTTCGGTTTCTCGCACAAACCGAGCGTTTCGTGTCTTAGGACATCAATGTGTCGTCACGAGCCGCAGGGTTTAATTTGGATTTGTCTGTGCATGTTTTTTTTACTCTCATAGATTTTGTTACCATTGCCATGCATTATACGACTGATAGACTGCAACGGCTGGAGTTAAAAATCATCATATGTGTTCTACTGAAGAAACAAAGTCACCTACATCTTGGATGCCCTGGGGGGAAGCAGATAAACATCAAATTTTCATTATTGGGTGAACTATCCCTTTAATCATTTATGTTATAGAGGTCATTGTTTGATTACTTGAGTACTGCAGTTTAGTGCATTTTAACTACATTTTGAAAATCGAGTCCCAGTTTAGGGATTGATTGGTAAGATTTTTGTAATGAATGAAGTCTCTTCTGCTCACCAAGGCTGCATTTATTTGATTAAAAATATAGTAAAAAAATAGTAATATTGTGAAATATTATTATAATTTATAATAACTGTTTTCTATGTGAATATAAATTTAAAATGTAATTTATTCCTGTGATCTAAGCTGAATTTTCAGCATTATTACTCCAGTCTTCAGTGTCACATGATCTTCAGAAATCATTCTAATATGCTGATTTGCTGCTCAAGAAACATTTCCGATTATTATCAATGTTGCAATGTGTGCTGCTTCATATTTTTGTGGAAACTGTGATACATTTTTTGTAAGAATTCTTTAATGAAAAGAACAGCGTTTATTTGAAATAGAAATAACATCATAAAAGTCTTAACTGTCACTTTTGATCAATTTAATGCATACTTGCTGAATAAAAGTATTAATTTCTGTCCCCCCAAAAAATCTTACTGACCCCAATCTTTTGAATGTTAGTAAAAAATTACTTTAAAAAATATGCATGACTTTTGTCTCACTGACTTCAGTAGCTGTTTGTTACTTATTCTTGTGATGTCAGAAGTGACTTCTATGTACATTTTTCTGTGTGTTTCAGAGGCAGCAGGTGGTGATGACGGAGCAGTTTGCTAAAGCTCACCCCAACATCCACTTCTCTGTGATGCACCCCGGATGGGTCGACACGCCAAGTATTTGCACACACACAATCATCCTAAATTTAAACCGTGCATGAATGATTATAGATGCATTTTCAAAATGCTACATGGAATATTTTTCCTTTTAAAAATTGGGTGAACTGCAAAAATGTGATTCAAATTGAAAAAAATAGTTACATCACCTAAAACATGCCGTGTCCGCCAGACATACATTTTTACCTTCAAGCTTGCTGTTGTTAATTTGTCAAATTGCATGTTGTGTTATATACCTTGAATGCATTGGTCGCTTTGGATATAAGTGTCTGCCAAATGCATAAATGCAGATATTTATTTATCATTTATTCAGACTGATTTGATGATGTCTGATCTTGATGGATTCATTCATTCTCGCCTCTCGTTCTTTAGCCATTGCAAACGCGATGCCTGATTTCCACAGCTCTATGAAGGAGCGTTTGCGGACACCGGAGCAAGGGGCCGATACGGTCGTGTGGCTCGCTGTGTCCGAGGCGGCTGGCAAGAATCCCAGTGGGCATTTTTTTCAGGGTGAGCAAACACACACCCACACATAGGCAGCAAATGAAATCTCATGAGTGACAGAATGCAACTCCATGTGCCACACAAACAGCACAACTAATGTTGAAGCACACGGGAGCCACAACTGATTGCAAGAGAGCTGCATTAACATGTTTCTAAAGTAATGCTCTAATATCCATAAAAGTGCATGCATTTTTAAAATTAGATTAAGCAACTTTTGAATTGATGTTTTTAGGTATTGTTCACTTTTTTGTTAAATATTAAGGCAGCATTGCATCTTTTGCAAAGATAGCAATCTCAGAATGCATTGTGACAAGTTGCTTGGCAATATTCTGACAAATGTACTGCTATTTCTTTTAGTACTGAAAAATCTGAATAAAAACATCTGTGTAATTAGAAACTACACAATATTTGTGCGTGTTATGCATCTTAGACTATGCTATGAACGTTTATTTCCAGAATTTCACGTTTGTATCTCACAAACTATTTTCTCAAAGTTCTGACTTTGAGTTTACATCTTGCAATTTTAATCTCTTTTTTTTCCCAGTAGATGGAGTTAACATCTCACAATGTTTTTGCCCGAATTTTTTAAGTCAGAATTGTGAGATGTGAACTCGGAATTCACAACTGCATGATGTCTACTTGATGTCATGTAAACAAAGTCAGAATTGGAAAATGTAAACTCCGAATTATGAGTGAAAAAAAGTCAGAATTGTGAGATGTAAACAAAATTATGAGGAAAAAAGTCAGTATTGAGATGTAAACTCGCAATTACGACTTTATAACTCGCGGTTGGGATAAAAAGTCGCAATTAACTTTTTTATATTTTTATTCCGTGGCGGAAACAAGCTTCCATAGTTTCTGCATGAGCATAGCAACATGCAAAAGTCAAATTGGAATCAATTATGTGTTGACTTTCCTGTGGTGCACAAAATTGCTGCCTGTGTAGAGCGTTCCAAACCAGTCCCTTATGAGGCACCATGTCAGTTAGGATGCTCCCTTAGAAGGCAGCTGCCTATGTAGGCAGTGGGCAATGAGGGAGCGCACTAGGTTTTGGAACCGAGCTGCTGTCTTTCTCTCCATCTCCTCCAATAAGGCATCCATCTGTTTCCATATGAAACAAGTGAGCCTTTCAGGAGACAAAGAATGGATGAAAGACACTGATGAAAGCAAGAAAAGCATGAGCAGTAGAGAGAAGACGAGGAGAATACAATGTGTACAAAGAAAGACTGGACAATGAAAATGAAAGAGAGAATCAGAGCATAGCAAAAGGAGGATGAAAGGAGAAGGAAAGAGCGAGAAAGATCAAGAAAGGGAAAAGAGAGTTGGCGGAGCTCCAGTGCAGCTGTAGTGGGCGGAGCTTCTGTGCCAGACACGGCCGGCGTGAACTTAGTGACCTTATGACCTTTTGGGACTGGGAAAACCAAACAGCCACTACTCAGACTTTAAGGCAAGACTACTGGTGAATAGAGTAAAAATGAACTAATAATAATAGATATCTTCAGAGTTTTCTCAAGTTGATTAATCGCAGTACATCAGGAACAGTTTTTGTATTACAAGTTTTATGAAATGTAAACATACTAATGAGGCTTTAGATAATAAAAATGCACTAATTTGCATAAATGTCCAGAACATAAATCTGAACATTGGATAAAGCCAGGTTCAAAATTCCTGTTTAATTTTAATGACATATTAGGTTTTTACAGATGGGATTTTCGAGATCTATAATCACTACATAAACCAGAAAATACTGTAAACAGACAAAAAAAAAATGTAGGGATAAAATGTTCACAAATCAGGTGAATTATATATGAACAACCCCCTTTGTAAAAACCTTCAGAAAATAGATAAAACTGTAAATTATTTTGTGTATGTAAATAATACTAAAGTGGAGAAAAAAAATTATTTTGAGAAAATGGCCTTTAAAGATACGCATTGTAGGTGAAATCTGCAGACGCAAATAAAGTGTAATAAAATAAATGTGTATTTTTGATGTTTTATTTCCACTAGTCTAATCTCAAAATTAACTAGTGCCTGGAAAAAAAAGAAAAAGGTTTTGCATGTAGTGTGTTGCCTTAAGCTCTCTTTGTTCTCACAAAGTACAATTTAATAACTGTAATATATATATATATATATATATATATTTTATATTTTAGCCGCATATTTAAATCTCAGAAATATTCAGATTACGTAACCATTAGAAGTTACTTGCGACTGCAAACACTCACTGTTGTGGCCTTGATTATCATTTCCATGGTAAGTGACTTCTCTGATTGGTGCATTTTGCTTCAGGATGATGGGTAATGCAGTTCTTCTGAATTTGGGAGAAATCAGACGTATGGCTTCTACAGAGGCATATATAATCAATTAACCTGCTCTCTGTATGCATACAGTACAGGTGCATATCAATAAATTAGAATGTCGTGGAAAAGTTCATTTATTTCAGTAATTCAACTCAAATTGTGAAACTCGTGTATTAAATAAATTCAATTATATATATTTTTTTAATGTGTTACTTGAAATATAATAAACATTAACTGAAATAAAATATAAAAATATTTTTTCCATGTTTCCAAGAAAGCATTTCTTCTTTTCACTTAGTTTAACTAGATGTACTTAAACAACTAAAAGTGAAAATGAAATAAAAATAAAAACTATAGACATATTTAAATAAAAAAAAATGGCAAAAACACAAGTTAATTACTAATAAAGAAAACAAAAAACATTAATAAAAATTTAATAGTAGCTCAATTTTCCTAAAATAACACTGGTGTATATGGCAAATATATATATATATATACATAAAAATATAACAATGCAAATCTTATATATATATGGCAATTACTAAAAGTTTAATTCTTGCTGTAAAATTATATTGCATTCCCCCAAGCAACTTTGCATTCACTCGCAAAAGCATTAAAATATGTTTTTTCCACCCATCTCAAAATATTTATCAGGTTTTTTTTGAGTGAACACAAAAGCACTGCAATGTAATTTTTTTTCCTCCCATCTTACAATTTTCCATCACCATTTCCCTTAGAGTTCACCATAAGCATTAAAAAAAATAAACAAGAAAGAACTTTAACATGCGATTTAAATGACCAGAAGATCCATATCTCTTACATGAGATACAGCATAGATCTTTATTTTAATATTTCATTCATCTCTGGGCTGAAACTACCAGTCAGCATCAAGACTTACGTCAGTTTTCATATTAGTGGCAGAAGATTCTTGTATGAAAAATACAGACGTTTCAGCTCAACTTGGTATATAGAGGGAGAATAATACTTCATTACGGAACTACTGAAGTAAAGTAAGTTTTAGAAAAAGCACATAGAAAAACAGATCTCAAAGTCATTTAGAGTTATTTACAGTTTTAGGGTTTGATCATTAGAAGCGTGTTGAATGTCTTCAACATCTGAAGATCAAGAAAACAGTGCGTGTGATTTTACATGGTGGTTAAACTGAACCGCGATCTCGGCTAAACGTGTGACTCCCTGAAGCGTCAATAGATGTTAAGGACACATAAGAGCAATAACTCGAATCAAAAATGACTTTAAATCTTTCCGGGGATGAATCTCACGACATATTCTTGACAGATTTCGCGAGATTCACCCTTGACACACAGCAAGTTTTTATGGTAAATGAAGGAAAAATAATTAACAAAAAGAAAACAGAACTCCCTCAGTTCCCTGATGAGAAATTATAATCGTCGTCAGTATCTTTCCAAATAAATGACACAAAAATTATGTCACACACAACAACGATGTCATACAAACAGCTCTTACATTTCACACCCTGTTTGATTTTTACATTAAATGAGGAAAATCAGCTACAATCCTGCTGAAAAAAAAAACAGCATATGCTGGTTAGGTATGTTTTGAAGCATGCCTGCTGGTTTAAGCTGGTTTGAGCTGGTCTGAGCTGGTTTAAGATGGTCATGTGCTGGTCCTAAACAGCTAGCTCCTGCTCAGGACCAGTACATGACCAGCTTAAACCAGCTCATGACCAGCTAAGGACCAACTTAAACCAGCTCAAACCAGCTTAAACCAGCAGCCATGCTTCAAAACATACCTAACCAGCATATGCTGTTTTTTCAGCAGGGAAAATCTTATGAATGGGAATGAAATTATATGAAATTCGTGCTTTACACAGGCACGAATCAGCCATTTAAAAGTGAAAGTAATGCAAATGTAATGCAAACACTCGCACACGCCGTTTGTACCGTCAGATCACGAACACACACAGACTGTGCAATTCAGTGCAAGGAACAGAGAACTCGGCAAGACAATGAACGAGGGAGAACGACTGAGAGAAATGTGACAGCCGAGTGAAAAAGAGAAAATGTGAGGAGAGAGTCAAGATGAAAAGAAAGAACTAAAGTAAAACATAAACAGCGCTGGTCAGTTATAATGTTTGTAAACAGCTTGGAATTCTCTCTTCTCATTGGCCAATGTGACGTTAATTGTGAGTCGTGCGTAAACTTAAAACATCCAGCTTCAAGCTTACGCGCCAAATCTGAAGGCGTTTTGAAATAGAAGAAATATAACTATTTAAAGAAACAGTGCACCCAAAACGACATTTCTGTCACCACTTACTTACATCGCTCCAAACCTGTTAAATACAGAAAAATTTATATTCCAAAGTCATCTTAAGCCATACCATAGCTTTGACAGGAAAAGACCGAAATGTTAAAGCTCCCGACCTCCAACGCATCTCTCAAATCTCATTTGCATATAATGACCTTAGTCAGATTAGGCGCCATATTGAAATAAACAATAAACTTACGCACTTTCAGAAACTTTTAAGAGTTTTCTCTTTAGAAGGTTTTTTTTTTTTTCTCAGAAAGACCTTTCTTTCGCTGAACAATCGGTCCCTCACTGCTTCATTTTCATTCCTGTCAAAAATTACAAGTAAATATGGCACTACCCTGACTAAGGTCTATTCGTCAGGTTTGACATCAGTAAAAAATACCACTGGTTGTCACATAACCAACTGCAAACTGGTAAGTTAGATAATGCGAACATGCGAATGAGAAGAAACAAGTTAATTTAGTTGAATATTGCACAATTAATATCAAGAATGGGTCTTAAAAACTACTTTTATTGTTCGTTTTTGCCATTTTTGGTTTTAGAAGCTATTATACAGATTCAGAAGAGTTGTAATATAGTGCACAAGCCTTATGGACTAATATTATGATGCTTTGTTGGAACCCCAGTCCTTATTGACTTCCAGTGTATAGAAACAGCAGCATCAACATTCTGCTAAACATCTCATTTTCTGTTCCACAGCTGAAAGTAATTGATTTGAGTTTTGGAAAGACATAAGTAAATGTTATAAATGCTGACAATTTTGGGGATAAGCATCACTTTAAAATGAAAGTTTGTTTCAGCCATGGGATTTAAAAAAAAAAAAAAAAAAAGTGACTGCAAATTTTTAATCTCTCAATTCTGACTTTTTTCCCCTCACAGTTCTGAGTTCATATCTCACAATTCTGTCTTTTTCCATACAATTCTGAGGAAAAAGTCAGAATTGTGAGATAAAAAGGTTGCAATTACCATTTTTATTCCACAGCGGGGAAAAAACAAACAGAACTGCGAGATGTAAACTCAGAATTAGGAGAGAAAAAAAGTCAGAAATAATGCAAACTCAGAATTCTGGGGGAAAAAGTCAGAATTGCAATATGTAAATTTGCAATTATGAGTTTATAACTTGCAATTGCGAGTAAAAAAGGCAATTACTTTTTTTTTTTTTTTTTTACTCGCAAGGCAGAAACAAGTTTCCATATTTTAACTTGTCCCTAAATCAAAGAGAACGATGATTAGTGCAATAAATAGTGTTTTACAGCTGAACACTACTGTACTAACTTAACGCGTTTAATCCTAAAATGCTCCATGAATTTTAAGCTACACTTAATGTTGCTCATCTACCTGCCTGACATTTTAGAGGGAAAACGACAAGTTTGTACGGGAATGTTCCATCGTTACTATGGAACACTAATTTCCATGGTAACACGAGTGCTGGTTACTATGACCAGTAGTAGCATTCAAATTCAAAAAGGGTAAAAAGGATAAACAAGAAAGATGGCTGAAGAAGAAACAGGATGTTGGATGAAGGAATGCTTCCTGTGTTTGAATGGTACTTCTGGATAGAGGGAATACAACAAGTACAAAATGCCAGAAACCTTCAGCCTGTAATGACGAAGCTACGCGCACACACACACACAGAGAGAGAAAGGGCGCAAATATTGTGCTTTCAGAAGTACCTTGAGTTCATGTTCGCTCAAATCCAGGTCATCATACCTCATAAGAGACATGAAGACCAGATTCATAAAATCAAGGAGCATTCCAATGACACACATATTCACATACACCGTGTTGAAGTGTCCGTTTTGCACAGACTCCACAGCTGAAGGACGAGAGAGAGTTAGACAGGTAGGTGAGCGTTTCCATGACATCTGATTGCGGAGTGTGGGCGGTGCCTTCAGAAACAGCCAATCAGCGAGGAGAGAATCCCGCCGCTACACTGCTGCCCACCACCTGCGCTATGTCCCAGATCTACACACAGACCAATCAGATCATTAGAAGGGAGAAGACTTCATTCATCAAACACAATCCTCACACCATTCATCATGAAATTATTAGCAAATTTATTCTGCATACGTTTCAGGCATGAAAGTAATATGAAAAGCTTACTGCACAGTATAGTCTATAACACACTAGTAGTATTATTTGAGTATTATTTATAAACTATTATAGTATTTCATATTTTGAAGTACTTTTTTATTCATTTATTTTTTTTATTTCAATTTGAGTAATTTTGTGTGCTTTTGTCATTTTTATTATTTATTTATTATAGTTTTAAATACTACTAAACAGCATTAATTCATTTTATTTCAGTTCTAGAAATAATTAAATGTAGTTATTTCAGTTAGTTGCCATGGCAACATTTCTCATTTTCATTTCAGTTTTTTGTCTAATATTAATATTTTATTTCACTATAATGCCTTACTAGCAGTGTTATTTTATTTCAGTTTTAGTAATTTTAATACTTCAGCTTAAACTTAGTTACTTCATTTCTAATTTTTTTTGTCTAATATTAATATTTCACTATAATGCCTTACTAGCAGTGTCATTTTAGTATTTATATTCTATTATAATATTTATAATATTTTGAATTAACTTTTTACATTTTTCATTTTAGTTTGAATAATTCTGTTATGTGCTTTTGTCATTTTTATTACTTACTTATTATTCTTAAATACTTCTATATGACAAATTAATTTTTATTTCAGTTTTAGTACTGCAGCTTAAACTTATTTCAGTTAGTTGCCATGGCAACATGTCCAATTTTCATTTAGGTTTTTAATATTAATATTTTACTATGATGCCTTACTAGCAGTGTTATTTAAGTATTATTTATATATTATAGTATTTATTGATATTTTGAATTAATTATTTTTATTTTCAGTTTCCATTTAACGTTTAGTCTAACTTATAGTAATTTTGTTGTGCTTTTGTCATTTTCATTATTTTAGTTTTTCAATACTTTTATACAGCTTAAATTAATCAATATTTCAGTTTTACTTTTAGTATTTACTTTTAGTAATTTTAGTACTTCAGTTTAAACTTATTTTTTCAGATAGTTGCCATGGCCAATTTTTTTATTTTAATTTGAGTTGAATTTTTTTTATTTCAATTCCCCAAAACAGTTTTACTCAAAACAATAATGTTTTCTTTAATATAGTCACCTTTGAAATAAAAAGCTTACATTTATTTATTTTGTATGTAATTTTGTCACAAATTATTTAAACTGGGTGTTCAATCAAATAATCAAAAATCAAAGCTGATATTATTTCTGTTTCATCGGAGACAGTGAAAAGTTAAGCGCACTGAATTGTGGGAAATGATGTTCCAAGCAGTGTGATCTGTTGATATACTGAACAGTCGGATAAATGTAATAGGTAATCTAGATAATCGATGCATATAACAATAAACATACTGTGTTGATACAAATACTGCATTCTGCAGAAATAACACTAATTGTATGATGATATGCTATTTATAGTCACTAAAATACAAGAACAAAAGAGATGAAGCATGAGTGTGTGACCTTAACAACTCGATCACTCCCACACGTGACCATCAGTCCTCGGCTCGGGTCCATGTCCATGTGAGCGATGTTGTGTTTCCCTTCATGAAACGTAGCCAGAGGAGTCCGACTGCAGCACGCAAATGCAAATACAAAAGAATAAGTAAATTCATCTGATGTGTTAACACAGAATCAAACAGACAACAAGATAATTTTTTATTTTTTTTTAAACTCACTCTTCCTCTTTGATTGTGTCGTAGCAGTCGTCACACATGCGCACCTGGAACTCAAAGCCCATGATGGGGTACGTGGAGCGTTTAGAACTACACTTCCCACAGATCGCCTTACCACACTTCCTGCAGTGATGCTGGGGACAGGAAATGACACGGGCATTGCGTCATGAAGCACTGAGATGCTTCGTTAAAAGAATATTTCACCCAAAATTTTACTGATCCTCAGGCCATCCAAGATGTAGATGAGTTTGTTTCTTCATCAGATTTGGAGAAATGTAGCATTGCATCACGTGCTCACCAGTGGATGCTCTGCAGTGAATGCGTTATTATGGATTCATAATTTGGCCAGAAGCGTTTGTTTAAAGTTAAAACACCTTAGTAATGGATTTGTTTCTTTCAAACACGCAGCTTTTGTCTTCTCCAGATGTTAACTGATGGACTGGAGTGGTGTGGATTATTGTGATGTTTTTATCAGCTGTTTGGACTCTCATTCTGACGGCACCCATTCACTGCAGAGCATCCATTGCTGAGCAAGTGATGCAATGCTACATTTCTCCAAATCTGATGAAGAAACAAACTCATCTACATCTTGGATGGCCTGAGGATGAGTAAATGTTCAGCAAATTTTAATTTTTGGGTGAACTATTGCTTTAAGGCAACTTTAAAGTGCAGATGCATAGGACCAAAACAGCATCAAAATGTTTATGCACATTTATGTCAGAGGGGGAGAAACACAATAGGATCTTTATATTTTTAACTGTACTGTTGCGCTCAGTACCTGTCTGAGCCCCAGGGTCTTAGAGTCCCACATCTGCTTTATATTCCAAAAAAACGGCTGTCCGCATTTCTGACAGGAATCGCTGTCCAGCCACTGAGGAGCCTGAAAGAAAGAATTACAGAAAGAGAGATCACATACGACTCCATGACATTTTGAGTATGAGTCCCTTTCCGGTAACCATAGAGATGGATGTGAATGATGACTGATGCAGAGGTTGCCATGGCGACGCCAAGAAACTTCGTCAATGCTTCACGATTAAACAATCTGGCCATGGACACGTTCAATCATCAGTTCTAATATTTAGGGTGTGTGTGTGTGAGAAACAACTTCCTTTTTGACCAGCGAGTGCATCTGAGCTTGTATTATATCAGTATTTCTTAAGCATTTATAAGTATTAAGTACCTCTTCTCGTGTTGTCTCCATGTTCCACACTGTTATTCCTCCATCAGCAGAGCAGGACACCAGCTGATGGGTCAGCGGCAGATACCACAGCGCCTGGACCTTCTCACTGAGTCAGACAGAAAGAGAGAGAGATTGACTGACTGTCCCAGACAACTGACTTCCTGTATACTGTTGTAAGAATCTTGTTTTTTAATGTTTTTGAAAGAAGTCTCTTTTGCTCACCAAGATGGCATTAAAATACAGAAAAAACTGTATTATTGTGAAATATTATTACAATTCAAAATAGCTGTTTTCTATTTTAATATATTATAAAATGTAATTTATTTCTGTGATTGAAGCTGAATTTTCAGCATCATTACTCCAGTCTTCAGTGTCACATGATCCTTCAGAAATCATTCTAATATGTGACCCTGGACCACAAAACCAGTCATAAGGGTCAATTTTTTGAAATTGAGATTTATACATAAATAAGCCTTCCATTGATGCATGGTTTGTTAGGATATAACAATATTTGGCCGAGATACAACTATTTGAAAATCTGGAATCTGAGGGTGCAAAAAAATCTAAATATTGAGAAAATCGCCTTTAAAGTTGTCCAAATGAAGTTCTTAGCAATGCATATTACTAATCAAAAAATAAGTTTTGATATATTTTCGATAGGAAATTTACTAAATATCTTCATGGAACATGATCTTTACTTAATATCCGAATGATTTTTGGCATAAAAGAAAAATGTATAATTTTGACCCATACAATGTATTGTTGGCTATTGCTACAAATTTACCCCAGCGACTTAACACTGCTTTTGTGCTCCAGGGTCACAAATGCTGATTTGCTGCTCAAGAAACATTTCTGATTATTATCAGTGTTGAAAACAGTTGTGCTGCCCAATATTTTTGTGAAAAATGTGATACATTTTATTTTTTTAGAATTCTTTGATGAATAGAAAGTTCAAAAGAACAGCATTTATTTGAAATGGAAATCTTTTGTAAATAAGCATCTTTACTGTCTGTCACTTTCGATCAAATTAATGCATCTTTTCTTAATAAAAGTATTAATTATTAAATGACCCCCAACTTTTACATCACTCTGCAGTCTCTTTAATCTCTCATAATAGAATAATTCAAACTCAAATCGATCCTTCACATTCATTTATTTACTTATTTGGTAAGCATCTATGAAATAAGAAGATAAAAGTACAGTCAAACGGTCATTATTGCAAAATAAACCCCGTAAAGGTCTCAATCTGAAGTGATTTATTTTGCGATAAGGAGCAGTTGAGTGTGTGTTATCTCTTACATCCCTACCTTTGAATGTGTGGGCTGAAATATGTCAGAACCGGTGTATTATAGAAGTATTTTACACATGCTCAACGACCATTAATGAAACAGAACGTCATGAAAATCATTCACTTTCAGAATTTTCTTTATAAGAAATGGAACTGAAAATGGAAAAATAGTTCTCAATCTTGGTTTCTATGCCATTTACAGCCTGGTAGCACATGTAGCAGTGATTCATCGGGTTATTACTGGCAAGCATGTGTGTGTGTGTTCTCACTGGTGTCCCTGCAGTAGTAATGTGCGTCCCTGTCTGCCACCAATGTCCCACATGATCACACTGTTATCAGACGCTCCGGAAAACAGCCACCTCTGAACCGGATCCCAATATAACGCACCAACACTACCTACAGACAGAGAGAGAGACAGACACAGAGAGAAGGGTGTTAAAGAGGTGGTTCACTGTTTTTTTTCTAGGCTTGATTGTGTTTACGGGGTGCAGTCTAGCATGTGTTAATGTTTTGTTTTTTTAAAAACGCATTATTTTTCACATAATTTACCTTTATTCGACACAGCTCTGTCCCTTCTCTGAGAAACGCGCTGATCATTTCCTGCTTTTATGAAGCCCCTGCTCAAACAGCAACTTTACACACTGACTAACGTTAAAAAAGTGAAATCGCAATCAACCACCCCTTTAAAGGAAATGTTTAGGTGTGAAATCAGTTTCTTTTCTTTCATAAAACTGTGAAGACAATCACACAAGACACTCAGATACACATGTATGTGTTGAGTAAAAGCAAGCTCTAGTTTAGAGACAAAACTGTGCTCAAAAGTAAGCAAAAATTTTACTAAATCTGACTATAAGGCATTAAAGTATTATTACATTACCATTATGAATTTCTGTAAAGCTGCTTTAAAACAATGTATATTGTGAAAAGAGCCATACAAATAAAATTAACTTGACCTTTAGGGATGTCCTTAAAGTTATAAATTACTCAGAAATAAAGTAAATAATGTGTTAAAGTATATATATATATATATCTATAGATATAGATATATAGCTTTACAGAAATTCATGATTTAACTTTAATACCATAAAACATTATTATAATTTTTTATGTATTAATTTTTATATTTTACAAATAATTAAAAAAAAAAATTACGCCAGAATACTAAAACAATTTCAGCTTTTCTATTAGGCTTTATATATATATAAATAAGCAGGGTAAACGTGTGTGTATTTTTAGCTGTCTTACCTTCATGTCCCTTTAGTGTAGTAATGACAGAACACGTCTGTTCGTCCAGTTTCAGCAGAGTGATCTGCCCTGAATGATCTCCCACAAAAGCATGCTGGGTATCGCTATCATATCTACATGTGTGGTCAAGAATTAATAACCTTAAGACAGTTTATAACACTAAATTATTTGCCAGTCCATTTAAATGCATAACGACTCAATCAATTGTATCAAGATTACTGGTATCAAATCTTTGAAAGACATTCAGGAACTAGATATTCATGAGCAGAACTGTATATTCGACTTAAAGTTACACTACCTTTCAAAAGTTTGAAAGAAATAATACTTCCATTCAGCAAAGACATTAAATTGACAAGAAATGACAGTAAAGGCATTTATGATGTTACAAACATAAAATGTTCTTTTGAACTTTCAATTCATCAAATAATCCTGAAAAAATAAATGCATCCATCCATCGGTTTTCACAAAAATCTGAAGCAGCACAACTGTTTTCAACATTGATAATAATCAGAAATGTTTCTCGATGAGCAAATCAACATATTAGAATGATTTCTGAAGATCACGTGACACTGAAGACTGGAGTAATGAAGCTGAAAATTCAGCTTTGATCACAGGAATTAATTGCATTTTAAAATATATTCATATAGAAAACTATATTTAACTATTTTAAATAGTAATAATATTTCACAATATGTCTGCTTTTACTGTATTTTTGATCAAATAAATGCAGCCTTGGTGAACATAGATACATCAACTCTACAAAACACACACTACCAGAGTTAGGGGAAGTTATTTTCCATATTAGAGTATTACACTATTGCACTGCTCCAAACAAAATATAATGACTTTACATTGTTACTTTTTAATCATAGATGAAGAGTTTGGTTCCAAAATGCGATAAATGCTTTTTTTTTTTTTTATTGAGTTTCCACCAAAATCAGTATTGCGTAGCTTGTCAGTGTAAGTGTTTTTATTAATGCCATTAATGTTTTTGTTAATACAGCGTATAGCACTAATCAACTAAATGAATGTAACATGGCAAAGATGAATGCACTTTTAGAAGTTGAATGTAAGGGAAATGTCATTTTGGAATTTCTGTGGTTTAATGTGATTTTGTTGTTCATGATGAAATTTTCTTTTATTGTTGTAATTTATAGCATTAAAGGGGTCATATGATGCTGCTAAAAAGAACATTATGTTGTGTATTTGGTGTAATGAAATGTGTTTATGCATTAAACACATTATTTTTCACATACTGTACATTATTGTTTCTCCTCTATGCCCCGCCTTTTTGAAACACGTCGATTTTTACAAAGCTCATCGTTCTGAAAAGCGAGGTGT